GTGTTACATAATGGTAAGAGGATCAATGCATCAAGAAGAGCTAATGATCCTAAATATATATGTACCCAATACAGGAGCACCCAGGTACATAAAGCAAGTTCTTAACAACCTACAAAGAGACTTAGACTCCCACACAATAATAGTGGGAGACTTTACACTCCACTGTCAATATTAGACAGATCAATAAGACAGAAAATTAACAAGGATATCCAGGACTTGAACTCAGATCTGGACCAAGCGAACCTAATAGACATCTACAGAAATCTTCACCCCAAATCCACAGAATATACATTCTTCTCAGCGTCACATTGCACCTACTCTAAAATTGACCACATAATTGGAAGTAAATCACTCCTCAGCAAATGCAAAAGAATGGAAATCATTACAAATAGTCTCTCAGACCACAGGGCAATCAAATTAGAACTCAAAATTTAGAAACTAACTCAGAACCGCACAGCTTCATGGAAACTGAGCAACTGGCTCCTGAATGATTGGATAAACAATGAAATGAAGGCAGAAAAAAAGACGTTCTTTGAAACCGTTGAGAACGAAGACACAACATGCCAGAATCTCTGGGACACATTTAAAGCAGTGTCTAGAGGGAAATTTATAGCAATAAATGCCCACATGAGAAGCGAGGAAAGATCCAAAATCAATACCCTATCATCAAAATTGAAAGAGCTAGAGGAGCAAGACCAAAAAAACTCCAAAGCTAGCAGAAGACAAGAAATAACTAACATCAGAGCATAACTGAAGGAGATAGAGACACAAAAAACCCTTCAAAAAAATCGATAAATCCAGGAGCTGGTTTTTTGAAAAGATCAACAAAATAGACCACTAGCCAGATGAATTAAAAAAAAAGGGAGAAGAACCAAATGGATGCAATAAAAAACAATAAAGGGGATGTCACCACAGATTCCACAGACATACAAACTACACTTAGTGATTACTACAAGCACCTCTATGCGTGTAAACCAGTAAACCTGGATGAAATGGGTAAGTTCCTGGACACTTGCACCCTCCCAAGCCTAAACCAGGAAGAAGTTGAAACCCTGAATAGACCAATAACCAGGGCTGAAGTTGAGGCAGCAATTAATAGCCTACCAACCAAAAAAAGTCCAGGTCCAGATGGGTTCACAGCCAAATTCTACCAGACATACAAAGAGGAGCTGGTACCATTCCTTCTGAAAGTATTCCAAACAATCCAAAAAGAGGGAATCCTTCCCAAATCATTTTAGGAGACCAACATCATCCTGATACCAAATCCTGGCAGAGACTCAACGAGAAAACTTCAGGCCAGTATCCATGATGAACATAGATTCAAAAATCTTCGATAAAATACTGGCAAACCGATTGTACCAGCACATCAAAAAGCTTATCCATCATGATCAAGTAGGCTTCATTCCAGGGATGCAAGGCTGGTTCAACATACACAAGTCTATAAATGTAATCCACCACATAAACAGAACCAAAGACAAAAACCACATGATTATCTCAATAGATGCAGAGAAGGCCTTTGACAAAATTCAACAGCAATTTATGCTAAAAACTCTCAATAAACTAGGTATAGAAGGAACATATCTCAAAACAGTGAAAGCTATTTATGACAGACCTACAGCCAATATCATACTGAATGGGCAAAAACTGGAAGCATTCCTTTGAAATCTGGCACTAGACAAGGATGCCCTCTCTCACCACTCCTATTCAATATAGTATTGGAAGTTCTAGCCAGAGCAATTAGGCAAGAAAAAAGAAATGGTATCCAATTAGGAAAAGAGGAAGTCAAATTGTCTCTATTTGCAGATGACATGATTGTATATTTAGAAGACCCTATTACCTCAGCCCAAAATCTAAAAGTGATAAGCAACTTCAGCAAAGTCTCAGGATACAAAATGACTGTGCAGAAATCATAAGCATTTCTATACACCAATAACAGACTAACAGAGAGCCAAATCATGAGCAAACTCCCATTCACAAAGACTACAAAGAGAATAAAATACCTAGGAATACAACTACAAGGGATGTAAAGGACTTCTTCAAGGAGAAGTACAAACCACTGCTCAAGGAAATAACAGAGGGCACAAAGAGATGGAGAAACCTTCCATGCTCATGGTTAGAAAGAATCAATATTGTGAAAATGGCCATACTGCCCAAAGTAATTTATAGATTCAATGCTATACCCATCAAGCTACCAATGACCTTCTTCACAGAACTGGAGAAAACCACCCTAAACGTCATATGGAACCAAAAGAGAGCCTGCATAGCCAAGACAATCCTAAGCAAAAAGAACAAAGCTGGAGGCATCATGCTACCTGATTTCAAACTATACTGCAAGGCTACAGTAATCAAAAAAGCTTGGTATTGGTACCAAAACAGAGATATAAACCAATGGAACAGAACAGAGGCACTGGAGGCAGTGCCACACATCTGCAACCATCTGATTTTTGACAAACCTGACAAAAACAAGCAGCGGGGAAAGGATTCCCTGTTAAATAAATGATGCTGGGAAAACTGGCTAGCAGTGTGCAGAAAGCAGAAACTGGACTCCTTCCTGACACCTTACACTAAAATTAACTTCAGATGGATTAAAAACTTAAACATAAGACCTAACACCATAAAAACTCCAGAAGAAAACCTAGGCAAAACCGTTCAGGGAGGGGAGCATCACACACTGGGGTCTGTTGTGTGGGGGGGGGGGGGGCGGGCAAGGGAGGGACAGCAGGGGAGTGGGGAGGTTGGGGAGGGATACCATGGGGAGAAATGTCAGATGTAGGTGACGGGGGGCGGGGGATGGAGGCAGCAAACCACATTGCCATATGTGTACCTATGCAACAATCCTGCATGATCTGTACATGCACCCCAGAACCTAAAGTACAATTAAAAAAAAAAAAAGAAACCTACTAACTTGCATGTTAGAATGAAAAGAGAGGTAGCCTCCCAAAGGGGCAAGGTGGAAATGAAGGAACTTTTGTTTTCAAGGTGACTGTTCCCCAGTGTGCTAGCTAAACTTTTGTTTGCTAAAGCAAGCCAGGCATATAGAGCAATTGCAGAGGCAGTGTTGGGATGGTTGACCCTTGGACATTGCCCAGTCTCTGAGGACAACAGCAGTCGTTGGGGGGAGGGCTCCTGGTCCAGGTACCTAGAAGTTCCTTAGGGCTTCTCATGACCATCTGACAGGCGCCAGGAAATAGTGTCACTGGTTCCTGAGAGTGCCTGCTATCACCTATCCAAAGTGAAGAGAGAGCATTGTTTGTGGCCTTATCATTGGCTCCAGGAGAGAGTAGCCTACCTGAGAGACAAGGAGATTTGACAGAGCTGCCCCTAGGTCTCTGGCAGCCATGTTACATGGGTTGGGTGATTAATAGCTCAAACACAGAAATTTGGAGGAAGCTCTGAGAAGATGAGTGACTTGCCACAATTGGCAAGTTGATGGTGGAGTCAGGACTAGAACCCATACCTCCCTTTGACACCTTCCACCATGCCTGGAGCCCCCTTGCCTTCCCATCTGTATTACCTTCTTCTTTTCCAGTCCCCTATTCTGCCAGGTACCCTTCCTCTGAACAGACCTTGAACACTCTCAGTATATTATGGGTTGAATTATGTACCTCCAAATTTATATGTTGAAGTCCTAAGCCCCTGTATCATATAATGTGACCTTATTTGGAAATAGGCTTATGGAAATATAGTTAAGTTAGGATGAGGTAATACTGGAGTAGGGTGTGCCTCTAATCCAATATGACTGATGTCATTATAAACAGGAAAAATGTGCAGACAGACAGAAATACAGGGAGAATGCCATGTGAAGATGAAGGCAGCAATCAGGGTTATACATCTGCAGGCCAAAGAACACCAAAGATTGCCAGCAAACCACCAGAAGCTAGGAGAGAGATGTGGAACACATTCCTCCCTTGCTGTCCCTCAAAGAACCCACCCTCCTGACACTGATTTTGGACTTCTGGTCTCTAGAAGGTGGAGAGAATAGGTTTCGTTGTTCTAAGCCACCCAGATTGTCATGTTTTGTGACAGCAGCCTTGGCAAACTAACAGACTATGGGAAAGGCCTCTGTGCTCATTTCTGGCAGTGGTTTCACAAGGATCCATAGGATCACTCTACCTGACAAGGCTGTGGTGCAGTGGGGCCAAGCTTAATGGAAGATGACCCGTGGGCTTGGTCCTAAACCCCTCAGCACTTTCCCGCCTCTAGTTGACCTGCTACTCCTCAAGGGCCTATCCAACATTGCATTCTCTGGTGATAATGGATTCTTTTAAAAAGAATTATCTCTAGGCTGGGCACGGTGGCTCATGCCTGTAATTTCAGCACTTTGGGAGGCCGAGGCACTTGGATCATGAGATCAGGTGTTTGAGAGCAGCTTGGCCAATACGGTGAAAGCCTGTCTGTACTAAAAATACAAAAGTATGAGCATGGTGGCGCATGCCTGTAGCTCTAGCTACTTGGGAGGCTGAGGCAGAAGAATTGCTTGAACCTGGGTGGCGGAGGTTGCAGTGAGCCAAGACTGTGCCACTGCACATTAGCCTGAGCCTGAGTGACAGAGCAAGACTCCATCTCAAAAAAAAAAAAAAAACACCTCTAAAAGTATGAGTTGCCAATGCTACAGGTAAAGCTATTTTTGTGTGTGTGTGAAATTAACAAACATGAAGATCCTTAAATTTAGAATCTGCAAATACGCTGTATCTGAAATACATGCTAATTGCTGAGGAATACACAAAAGATAGGGGTGTGTGCGTAATATGTAGTATATGGAGACATATATGTAATACATATACAGTATTTACTTTACATGAAAACATACACATGTGCATCCTGAGTTTGATCTTTGCTTAACATTCTTACTTAAAACATCTCTTCAAAACGTTTACTATAAAAAGATACACTGTATTGTTTATATGCTCTGTCTTGGTTTAAAACTTTTCTTGGCTGGATTCTTTGGACCTTAGGAAAATGTTAAAAGGGTATCCAGATACACATATAAAAGTACTCACCAAGGAACATTTCAATAACAGATGCCTTCATAGTGAGAACAACAGTCCTCATAAATATCAGAATGACACCCTGGAGAGAAAGAAACAATAACATCATCATATTTCAGCCGGTGGTTCTGATTTGGATGCACAGAGTGTGTGGGGATGGGCTGTATCACTTTGCATTGCCCTCTGGAGTCAGGATTCCAGGCTACAGATTTCCATAAGCAGCACATAGAGATGGCAGTGGCTGGCCATGCTGGTACCCAGAGATACTATTCTCAGTTAGAAAACCCATTCTGGCCACCAGCCTCCAATTCTTTAAATATTTAATGTTTACTTAGAACTGAAGAGGAAATAACTCTACAATTTTGAGAATATGTCCAAGTAGTCTTCTAATTAGGATGAAAGCTACATTTATGGCATTCAGAAAACATATTTAAATTGCAATGATTAATACTTCATTATTCATTCAATAAATATTTATTAAACTCCTATTATATGGCTACATTTTGTTAGAAAGTGCTAACCATTGAATTAAAAAACAATTCTCACTCTTCAGAGGCTTACAGTTTAATATAGGTGGAAAAACACAAGTGGACACAAATAACCATGTTTAATTGTGTAAGAGAGTGTTAAGTCCTCATAAGAGAGTGTAAGGGGAAACTTACAGAGCAGTGATTCTCAAACTTTGCTGCATATTATTTAATAGTGTCGCCTGGGAGTTTAAAAAATCCTGATGCCAAGGCTGTACCCTAGACCAATTGAATAAGACTCTATTGGATTGGGGTCTAGTTATTACATTTTTAACCACTTATCAAATAATTCCAACATGCAGCCAAGTTTGAGAACCAGTGGTTTTGAGTTGGGCTTCTTAAATCTTATTGTGTCTATTCATCCCCTGGGGCTGTTGTTAAAGTTCAGGTTCTAATCTAGTAGGTGGGGTAGTGCCGGAGATTCCCCAAGGGCCAGAAGTTTTAGAAGGAGAGAGATTATGGCAGCCATGGGAATAAGAGGAAGCCTCATAGAGATGGTGGCAACTGGGTCAACTTTGAAGAATGAACAGACTGTGAACATTCAGAAGTAGAGAAGTGGCTCCAAGTTGGGGGGAACAGCGCAACAGAGACCCAGACATTAGAGTGCAATAGATATGAAAATGCTGGTGATCTGTCCTTTCCCATCCTTCTCTTAAGACTATGAGGAAACTGTCAAAGGTTTACTCATACTACTATTAATTGAGTATATTTTGTGCATTCTGTATTTTTTTGAATCCACACAATAAGTCAGCATGGGAGGTTTTATGATCCATATTGAACAGATGAGGAAACTAAGACTTAGAGAAGTTAAACGTGCTAACCGTGGTGCAAGGTGGTAAATAGGATTAGAATGGAGGTAAATGTGGGTGGGAGGAAACTGTCCTGGGCACAGGCAATAAGGGATAAATTTGTAAGGAACTGAAAGACTTAAAGTTGGTCTACTTTTTATTATCCTTATAAGCTAGCAATTTTAAACAATGTCAATGGTAGTAAAACACTCCTCCCCTCTGGGCCGACAGCTTCCATGATATCCCCCCTCCCTCCAGTGCCACTGTTGTGTAGCCTAAAGCTGGCAGTCATAATTCTACCCTCTGCTATGTTCAGTGATGTACTGGTTTTTTAAAAAAAGATAGAAATAAAAGCCCTGATTTGCAGAGCTTGTCAATTTCTGTGGTAGCAAATCCTACTACCATGGCTGATTTTGAAGCCATCAAAGTGACATCACTGAATGGAGATCTAGAAAGAGATAAGCACAGTCTGGTACTAGCTAGACCCAGTATAAGCTTATATCCAATATTTGATACACTGCTATGCATCTTTTTTTAATAAAAGGCAATTATTAGATTATGGGTTGAGTTAGTAAACAAGTACTCAATGCAGTTAACTTAAAGTTGTTTAGTATATGAAAGCTTTATTACAAACAATTAGATTAGGCAGCAAGAGTAACCCCAAACAGAATTGATCACTTTGTTAATTTCCAACAATTGAAATGTGTTAAATTTCACAATTAAGGTAGTTGGCTGTCTTTAGCTTCAAAATAAAAACAAAATCATATATACAACCTGTATTTAAATAGCCAGATTATATTTTGGAAATAGTGTGATAACTGGTACTTTTTTTTGTTTTTTATTATTTTGAGAAACTCCAGAACAATTTACATATCTTTAAGCCTCAGTGTTTAGCTTTCCTATTGGATAAGTGCAGTAAGCCAAGTTGCCCTATTGGACCCACCTATTCAGCCCCATTAATTGGCTGTTACCACTCAACATTGCAGATTTCATCTGAGTTATCCTTGACTTCTCTTTCTCATACATTCCACATGCTCTCCACCAGCCAACCCTGTTGGCGCTACATTCATAGTCTATCCAGAAACTGATCATTTCTCAGCATCTTTTACCATTGCCATCTGTACCAGGCTCTGCCCTGTGCCACCTAGATTATTGCAATTAGCCTCATAACTAGGCTGTTCCCTTCTTCCTTTGTCTTCTGCAGTCCCCAGAGCAGCCAGCATGATCCTATTCAAAGTAAATCAGTTCTTGGTATTTCTCAGCTGACCCTCTACAGTGGCTCCCCCTCTTATTCAGAAGAAAAGCAGAAGTCTTCACAAGTAGCTCAAGACCCTACTTGATTTGGCCCCCAGCGACCCTTCTGATCTAATTTCTCACTGTTCTCTTCCTCAATTAGTAATCTTCAGCCACACTGGCCTCTAGGCTGTTTCTGGAACACCTCTTACCTCAGGGTCTCTGGACTGTTGTACTACTTTTTCCTCTGGCTGGAGGCCATTCCTCCAGATAAGCACATAACTTACTCCCTCATTTCTTTCAAATCTTTGCTTAAATGTTACCTCTCATGAGACATTCCCTAATCATCCAATTTAAAATCACAGTCCCCCTCCTACCTCACCCACCACCAATGGATATATCCTATCCCTTTCCTACTGTCTTTTTCTCCTTTGACTTACCACTTTCTGACATACTTTATATGTTATTTATTTATTTTTTTTTATGGTGTTCCACACTATAATGCAAGCTCCACAAGGGCAGGGATTTTTATTTGACTTTTTAGGTGTTCAGTAAATATGTGTTGAATCAATGTATGAGTAATGAGGGCTCTCCCTTTTCCCTAGGAAATTTAAAAAGGAAAAAAACAAAAACAAATGGAAGACTATCTTATGAATACATTAGAAACTACTGAATTATATGCTTAATGTTTGTTTATTTATCTATTTTTTGAGATGGAATCTTGCTCTGTTGCCCAGGCTGGAGTGCAGTGGTGCGATCTCAGCTCACTGCAACCTCCGCATCTTGAGTTCATGCAATTCTCTGCCTCAGTCTCCTGAGTAGCTGGGATTACAGGTGCCCGCCACCACACCTGGCTAATTTTTGCATTTTTAGTAGAGATGGGGTTTCATTATCTTGGCCAGACTGGTTTTGAAATTCTGACCTCATGATCCATTCACCTCCGCCTCCCAAAGTGCTGGGATTACAGGTGTGAGCCACCGTGGCTAGCAGAATTACACACTTTAAATGGTGTATTTTATGGTATGTGAATTATATCTCAATAAAAATTAATAGAGCAGTATTGATATTATTGATATTGCTAATCAAAAAACCCAAAGGGAAGGTGGAGAGCAGAGCAAAGTGCTCTCAGATCTGTTCTACAACTTTAGAGTCATGATGGACATGACCTTCAGAAGCTGGAATGAATGGATAAAAACCACTGGGAATCCAGGAGATGCTGTAATCCCTGGAAAGATGTCACCCAAGTGTTGGCCTATTAATAATGGAAGCTGACCAGAATCATTCTAGTGTCTTAGAATACTTGAAACTTCTTTCTCACCACTGATTCACAAATTTATGGATTGTGCCATGAGATACAACGTAAAGAATCCCAAATATGTAGTTCTGCTGAGGCAAACGAAGCCTAGTTGTGAAGGAAGAGAATACATTAGTTTAAGTAGATTGGCACAGAAAATTTAATAAGATCTCTTTCTGCCCAGAGTTAGCAGAGAGCAAGTTGGTAATAAATAATAATACAGCTTTCTATTTATATAGTTTTTCACAGTGTTTTAAATAAAGCAGTGTCCTGTGCTAGAGTTTTCTATTTTGTTCACTGTTCAGTATCTTGAGCCTGGAATAGTGTTTGTGGTGGGCACAATGATACATGTTTGTTGAGAAAATGAGTAAATACAAACTTGTTCTTCACAGTAAGCTTGTGTGAAATGTGGAGTATGCATAATTCCCACTTTAAAGATAAGAAAACTGAGGTCTGCTGTGGTTAAGTGACCTATCCAAGGTCACATATCCAAAGTCAAGCCTGGGGTTCATGGCTCCTGATCCTGTACCCCTCTTTCTACCCCTTGTGTATAAGATGATCTGCAGGTTGCACCTTGTTAAGATTGAAAAAGCAAAATGGACTTTTCTTAAATCTCTACATCAAAATGCTTGCAATTTACAGATAAGGGGCAATTTGCTCATCAGTTAAAGATGTTTGAGAAGAATGTACTTTGCCAAAGGTGGAGGAAGAGTAAAAAGGCAAAGAAAGAGAAAAGTAATCTAAACAGGGAAAGCAAAGACCACAGCAAGAGAAGCAGGAAAAGACACTTAATAATGTACAGCACTAGTGACCAGGAAGTATAAAGATTAAAGCAAGTTCATTGGGAATTGAATGTAACAATGCATGCGAAAGCAACTTGGAGAACGAATGGCTAAAATTAAAAAGACTCATACTATGAAGTGTTGGTGAGGATGTGGAGGACTGGAATAATTGCTAACGGGAATGTAAAATGGTACAACTACTTTGGAAAATAGTTTGGTAGTATCTTGAAAAGTTAAAAAGCTAAATATATTCCCATTATATATTGCAACCATTCCACTCCTAGGCATTTTCCCAAGAGGAATGAAAGTATGTGTCCATACAATGACTTCTGCATGTATATTTTTAACAGCTTTATTTCTCGTAGCTTCAAACTGGGAATGATGCAAAATCTATTAACAGATAAATGGATAAACACATTGTGGTTTATCCATACAGTGGAATACTACTCAGCAATAAA